ATGTGTGGTGCCAAGAAGAGGCAAGCAAGTAGGAGGGACAGTGGCATAGTGACATCAATGCTTCATGAATTGGATAGGGGCCTTGGATTCTGGGACCAGACCCTAGTCCTAAGTGGCCAGAAACTATCCCACTGCTGTCTAGCCAATAAACAATTTCAAATGGTTAAAGTTTGTATCAATGAATAATCCAAGGTACAAAAAAGCTTTAAAGGGTAGAAGCCAGGGCCCATTGCTCTTCAGGCCAGCATCCATCTTGCTGAGCCACTTTCCCTTAAGTCGGCTTGTTTTCCTTGTGCTCACACTCTGCCACCAGCACCCTCCTCCCCCACCACCGCAACTCTTGCTGACAGTTTTTTTCCCACTAAACTTTTGAGACTATGTAACTGTGGTTCTGCCTTCTGAACATGCTCAGAAAAGAAGCACCAGGCCCGTGTAACTACACAGGTGCAGACAGGCTCTTAACTCTGTGTAAGAGCAAAGAACTGCAGTTACCCATTTAGGCAGCTGAAGGTGAAAAAGAATTTAGCCCAAGCTGTCATGTGGTGCTAATATCTTCACTCGAACAATTTCAAGATACTAAATAAGTGCTCAGGTACAGGTTGTCTTGGGGGAGGCATCTCAAAGGAGATCAGGGTGGAAGATGTGATGAAAGAAAAAGGCTTAAAGATGCAAGAAGCTTGGGAGACAGGCCCATGAGCACAACTTTTGTATGGTCCCAGACCTTGAAGCTGTATATCCCACACTTTGAACCAGGCCTGATGTTTTAGAAGTAGCACACTAGACACTGGGAGGCAAGTCACTTTTGGGGGGACTATGAAGGCCAGTGATTTAAAAAAGACCACTAATTCTGGATGTCTCTGAGGCTGTGTGTACAGTTTTGAGATACTGAAGCCAGATTTTTGGACATGCTGGACACAAGCAGCTCAAACTGACTTCACTGTCAGTTGCAAATGCTCATCCCTACAACTTAATGTCTTAGGTTTGCTACTCAAGAAATGAAGTGACCAAAATCACAGATCACCTCTGAAAAATTTGCCTCAAGTGTCCAGCAAAATCTGTGTTCAATTTTCATACCGAGTACAGAGTACTATTCACTGGGCTTTCATGTAAAAATGCTTTCTCTGCTGGCTATACCAGAAGAACTGCTCATCTTTACTACTGAATTGAATGTGTGGCAAAAGAGGTGCACGTAGCATGCATTCTGGGCCCAGTCCCACCCTCCTTTGGGTAACACTCCCATATTCCTTAAGGAAGCTGACTTGGCTCTCTGAGGGTAGACATCAGTCTGCTACTTCTAAACATGTTAAAAGTTCAATTTCTGCTTCGTTAGTTACTTGTACAGAGAATCATAGAATCATAGAAAATTAGGTTTGAGAGGGACCTCACGAGGTAATGTAGTAAGTCCAAACCCCTGCTCAAAGCAGAAGCAGCCCCAACTATATCATCCCAGCCAATGCTTTGTCTAGCCAGGTCTTAAAAACCTCCAAGGAAGGAGATTCCAAAATTTCTCTGGGTAACCTGCTCCAATGCTTTACTACCCTCCTAGTGAGTAAAGTTTTCCCTAATATCTAACCTAAACTTCCCTGGGAGCAACTTGAGACCATTGCTCTTTGTTCTGTTATCTGCCACCATTGAGAACAGTCTAGCTCCATCCTCTTTGTAACCACCTTTCAGGTAGTTGAAGGCTGCTTATGAAATCCCCACTCAGTCTTCTCTTCTCCAGACTAAATAAGCCCAGTTCCCTCAGCCGCTACTCATCAGTCATATGCTCAAGCTCCCTAACCATTTTTGTTACCCCCAGATGGGCCTGGCCCAATTTGGTTCTTTGGGTAAATCTGATACAAGCTTCCCTCACTTTATGCGGGTTCTGTATGTGCGAATTCGCTCTTATGCAATGACCCTTTTTATACCAAAAATTCGTTATATGCAAGGTAAATTCACTCCTATGTGATCAGCGTGGTGGAAGCCCGCAGTAAGCTGCTTTGTGCGGTGCATTGTGGGAGTGACACACACCAAAATATAGTCTCCTGTGTGGATCTGTACTCCTCGCTCGTTGTCTGTGACACATGTTTCTGTAGTTGCCACTAAACATTTACCATGTCCCTGTCCTTGTGTGTACTGTCTGCTGTTGGTGAGTACCAAAATTGTCTTGTAAAAGTGATAGAAGTGGATCTAGGGGTCAGTACCTTTGAGGCCCTGGAACATATCCCTATTTGTTACATTGTAAAGTGGGTTCCCTTTATGCGAATTCAAGTTATGTTTCATTTTCCAGGAACACATAAAGTGAGGGAAACCTGTATCTGTTATTAGACCAACTAAAATAGTTGAAAAAATTCTTCTTTGTAAGCTTTTGGGCACAAACACCCTTCTTCACCCTTCTTCTATAGTTGTTTTGTGCTCTCCTGGATAGGCTTTCTTTGGTGGCTTTGTCAGCTAGTGAATGGCTAAATCAGGAAGTACCATTCAGTGGGAGGAAGAAGGAATTCCGC